TCTCTCTCTCTCTCTCTCTCTCTCTCTCTCTCTCTCTCTCTCTCTGTGTGTGTGTGTGTGTGTGTGTGTGTGTGTGTGTGTGTGTGTGTGTGAAGGAGTCCGTGGTCCCCACATGTTTGCTCGAAAGAAACGAGCCATACCTTTTTTGCTTCCTTCTTTTCAATTTTGAATAATGTGCGGATATTTGGTGAAGTGCCAAAAAGATGCGCATGCGGTTGGTGTCAATGTTTCGTGCAGCGATTGCCGCTTCATCCCCATCAAGAAATGAGGGGCATATGGCACAAAGCACCTGTTCTTCATTTACCAGCAGCAGTTTACCCTTTAACGAAAACTACCGTCCCCACGAAGAGATATATAGGCTAATATAGCTGCATTTGGGGCAACTTTCAGTCTAGAATCTAGATACAGCAATAACGACCGTGCATTATCTACTACTAGGGTGAAGACGGTAGTTAGAGAACTCGGAACACACCACGTCAAGAAATTGATATGGCCTCACCTTGCTAGAGCAAACTCTGGGAGGTGACCGCTCTGTCTTTTCCCAAGCAATTCACCTGAAAAACACCAAGGCAAAAGAAAAGAGCAAGTCATCAGAGTTGTCCTTCTTGGACATCAGTTAAAATTGGAACGATAGTTACGATACAGCAAAGTTTTTTTTTTTTTTTTTTTTTTTTTTACACTATGCCAGGGTTGACGGCGTTCGGGACGAGCCGAACGCCCGAACCCGAACGAACGCCTGAATGTTCGGCACCCCCTCTCGATGCGTTCGGCCGAACGCGGACCCACAAAAAAAAAAAAGAAAAAAAATCCAAAAAATCTGAAAAAATATGTGTTATACAGAAGAATAAACCAAACAACATTTCATTTGCCTCAACAATATTGAGTGGGCGAGCACGTTTTTGACACCGCCATCTTTGGTGATTTTTCTTTTTTTTTTGGCTGTGACAAATGCCATGAAAATTTATATATGTGTATCTTACATAATAGAGAATATACAAATAAAGTTTGAAAAAATAACAATTTTTTTTCATGCCCCGAAATAAAGGAAGAACAAAAAGTGAAAAGAGAGAAAAATGCAAGGGAAATAAGCAACAGCGAGATGACAAATCCAGATCACACCATCACATTAAAAGCCAGATAGTCACACTGTGTCCAGAGAGCAGCATTGCACCAATAATACACCAATGGAGGTTCGTAGTACTGAAAACCAATGTCATGGAGAGCTTTCTCTCTCCTTCAGCAACACAAGAGTTCAGTCCCTTCACACTCCTACTTGGCGCTCAGCGCCCAGCCAACTCCTACACAGCTACGATCAGCCTAGTAATAGACGATGCAACTGTTGACATCAGCGGCAACCCGAAGTACTTGAAGATGTCACCCATATGCAGACCATCGCCAATACAAGGTAAGTGCCCTCACATCATCATCAGCATCATCCTTCGCCCTTCCCTGACTTAACACCCACACCTGTCCTCTCTTGCACCCGAAGACCACCCCTGCGCCTCACTGTGTATCCAAGCCCAGCCCACTATGGAGGCTGGCTATGGCGCTGCCCTCAGCAGCGCCCTGCTCCCACACACGACCGCACGTGCGCAGCCTCTTGCTCCAATGCCGGCAGCCAGCCCGCAAGCAATTGCTCCAGCAGCGCTGCCGCCAGCCAGCAAGTGACCGAATGCCCATGCCAGGGGAGAGCTCTTTCCTTTATGAAAAGAACTGGCCTGCTTGCGCAGCCTGGCTGCACTGGCCTAGGCCCAGAAGCTTCCGGTAGGCCCCAGGATGCTGCGTGCTACTTGCAGCGTCTGGGCCTCATTCGGTTGGGCTTCCCAACTGTCAATGTATGAGGCTGCGATTCAGGCCCAGGGCCTGCATTCTTTGGAAGGGCCCGGTAGGCCTTGGAAATGTCTTTGTTGCTCGGCCTGTGTTTCTCTCAACCAACTGGCGCGTCGCAACTGCCTGTACCCCAAATATGAAATGGACAGTCAAAGGCCTCTTGTAAAATGTTAGGCCCGCCTTCACTTAGGGCGGGCACCACTGCAACCGGGGCCCCTTAGGCCTGCCGAGGACTCAGATCCTCGCAAAAAACAAATTAGTGAGTGGGCAAGCAAGTTTTGACACCACCATCTTTGCCGATTTTTCATTTTTTTTTGGCTGAACAGAAGGGCTTCAAAATTAAGAGGGAGATACCTTACATCACAAAGAACTCACAGAAACAAATTCAGAAAAAATAAATAATATTTAGGTGCCAAAATTATATTTTTTGTGGGGTCCGAACCCCTTCAGGTTCAGGCCCCGTACGGGGACCCGAACGCCCGAACATTCGGGGCTCAGCTTAGGGGCCTCCGTACGTTCGGCCTGGCAACCCTGCACTCCGCTATATTCTTCTCTCCTCGAACCTTTAATCTTGGAATACAACTCGATTTTCAAAAAAAAAAAAAAAGAAAAAAAAAAAAATCTTTCAACATCTTTCAAATTCTTTCAATTCACCTTCACTACCTACCTACCAGGCTACCACTACTCCTAAGGCTTATACAGGGGACCCCTGCCCCTGCGCACGGATGACACGCACAAATTGAGAAATTGTCAAATTGACCCATTTTGAAATAAAAACAAAGAGACAGTCAGCAGCGTACGTCCTTCGGCACATCCGTAAAATTGGGGCGATACAGAGAGAAAGAAGACTAGCATGACCCCTGCACAAGGATGACACACATAAATCGAGGAATGGTCCACATACAAAAACAGAAAAAGAAAAAAAAAAAGAAAAAAAAAAAGAACAAAGAAACGGAAAAAAAAAGAAGAAAAAGCAAGTCAGGCTAGTCAGCAGAGTATCCTACGCATTCCTACCACCACTGATCACAAACCCATCTTCCCCCTACCTCCAATCAGAAATCATCTTTCCTCTGATTGGACGTCTGATTCTTCTCTGCATCTTCTGATCAAAAATCTTATTTCCGATTGGAGGTAGGAAATATTATTATTCCAATTTATTATTTGTGCTCCCGTCTTCTCCCGAATAGAACCCCCGGTCATTATAGCTGGATATGGGGCAAAACTTTCAGTCAAGAAACAGCGATAATGACCCGGCGTACTCTTCGGGTGAAGATGGTAGTTTTGAAGTCTGAATCTTCTGAAGTTCTAATCAACAAACAGAAAAAGGATGGGCTGGATGGGCTGCACTTCTGTGCTATTTATCTGGGGCACACAGGTAGTAGATTTAAGGTAAACCAGGCCCAAGCCCAGGACCAGGCCAAATGCCAGGCACAGGACTGAAAGCGACTTCTCCCCTGAAAGGGGGGGAAGGACAGGCCCAGGCCGAGGCCAAATGCCGGGCACGCACGCCGGTGACAGTATCAGCCACAGCGTATGTCCGACAGAAAGCACCCGATAAATAGCTCTTTACTATTTAGGAATTTTAGGATGTCTTCTCTGTCGACCTGCTGTCAAGGCGATCACTACCGGGGGTTTAGTCGTGACCGCCTATGGCTAGTTTGTACACTAACCTACGGTGCCGATTGCTCCCGTGCCTGGTGCAGCGAAGAGGAGTGTCGCCTGCCTGATGGGGTCTTGACTAGTGCAAGGAACATGAATATGGACGAAGCGCAGAAATCCAGAATGCAAAATCACACTGAAGTCCAAGTATTCAAAGCCAGAGCAGATAGCCCAATGGAACCGAGTAACCATCCAGTTGAGAATGAAACAGAAGAATCGTGAGTCAATGTCCATGCCCAACAGGGCAACACCAACAGCATAACCCAATGTAGCTCTCTCTCATGAATGGCGCCAGGCGCCCTATCTACTCTACAAGCTAAGCCTACAACTACAGCAATGAAAGCAACCGGACCACTTGACTACCAGCGAGTGATGATGTCAACACCAATGCCGACCTCCACCTCCACCAGGTACGTGTCCTCTTCACCCACACTCTCCCTTGTACCCACACAGCGCCCTTCACCTCTGAAGAACCACCTTCGCCCTTCACCTCTCCTGCACCCTCATGCGGCCCGGCTATGGCCGCCAGTGCCTTGCATGCAGGCAGCGCCCTACCACCTAGCGCTAGCCTGCTTCACCTTAGCGCCGCGCAGCTCTGCACAGCGCAGCACACATGCATTCGCGCAGCGTGCCCGCAATGCCCGCATTGGCCAAGATCCCTGCCCACTCGCCCTGCTTGCCT